GAGAGAGAGAGAGAGAGAGAGAGAGAGAGAGAGAGAGAGAGATTTAAAAATAAGAGCAATCATTGCATGGGGGCTAATTATTTGGACTCATAAATCATTATTCAACACTGTTACATACGAATATTGTGCGAACATTTGGCCCTTCGATAAATAATACGATCATGCTAATTCCTTTACTTAAGTCAAACCAATTATAATTAAAGAAAAAAAAAATATTTTTACTAAATGTGTGTGCATATTAATTACACTAATCTAATCAGGTTCTTTGAAGAATTAATTTCGGCTTTTTCGGCACGTGTTGAAGACTTTTATGTACACATCTCTTACAACGTTACTCGTGAAAGCGAATTATATATACTATTTCATTGAAGTGTACACATTCGAACTGTACGACTGTGTGATATTTACTTGATTTTCCAGCGAATCAATGAATATTCCATTTCTTTTTTTTTTTTTTTTTTTTCAAAAACTCGTAGTAAAAATATTTTACAAGGCCAATTTATTATAAAACAGACGACTGAGTTATCACATAAGCACGCCAAGCCGAAAAGCAACGTTTACGATCAATCTTTATCTACAAGCGTCAAGTTAAGTATAATAACAGAAATTATTCTCGAACGTGTCATTTCTTTTTTGAAGGCGGTTTCACGTACACGGCTTGTACTTATGTGTTAAACGTTTCAACTTGTTTCGCAACAAAAAAATGATTACACGTATGCTTTGAGTATGATTTCTTTTTTTTTTTTTCTTTTTGTGGCGCATGAGGGATAACTGTGAAAGAAAAGAAATAAATTAGTTACAAGGCGTCAGTGTGCAAAGATAAGTTACATGAGAGATGAAGCAACTTAAATTTTAAATCAACTAACTAAGAATCGAAACGGTACGGCTTGTGAGCTTGTGTCAAGGATTTTGTTGCATGAATTGTCTATGCCTGCAAGCGCAATACTAATTAACACTGCATACTATTGTAAAAAAAAGAAAAAAAGAAAAGAAAAGAAAAAAAAAGTCATTAAAATCGAAATTCGAAGATCCAATCCGATTGCTTCCTACTGATTGCTGATCGATGACTGTGCTGGAGACTGATTCTCGCAATGAATCTGAGAATTATTCACAGAGATGTTGCGCATACAGTGCGTGCACAGTGAATATAATCGCTGTGAATGATAATTGGTATTTCATTCGTAATCGCTAGAAATATTTTTAGACGCAAAGAAAAAAAAAAAAAAGCCTTCGCGAATAACATTTTTTCCCTTTTCTTCTTATACACAAGTAATCTAAAAATTTCTTATATACAAGTAATCTAAAAATATCGGTCGTACATAAATTTCACGAAGGTTGCTCAAGCATGAGATGATGTAACGGAACTGTTTAATGTCGTGTTTTTAAAATATATTTATACAGATTTTAGCAGCGACGGGCTACGACGTCCAATAAACATAAAATGACGTGTTTGCGTCAAATAGATTCAGAATTCCCGAAATGATTTTCAACTGAACGATTTTGGTAAAACTTTTGGTAAACCTTACTCGACACCAATATTTCAATTGTTTTCTTATTATTTAGATTTCTTTCGTATCTACTTCATCGTATGAACTCGATCGTTTCGGTTTCGACCGAAGATATATTCATTGTGCACGATTGACGGTTTTCGTCTAAGAATGTCTACTGATAACTTGAGCGACTACGGGCATTGTGCGTTTCAAAGGAAATGTCTCAAGAACATAAATAATCAAAAAAAAAAAAAAATTGAAGTATGCGGTATGGCAACTAGCAGAAGCTAAGATTCAAGAGAAGTGTCACTTACTTTCTCCACTGTGGAATTCTGCGAGTAGCGCAAATAAAATAACAGAGAGGAATCGGGAACAAAATAAAAAACGCGTTAGTATCCATTCGTTCATAAAAAATGGTGATGAGAGATGACGAACATAGATGGAGTCGAGATTCTGAACTCTAGCGCAACTTTACAGATTTTCGAACATTTCCGATGTCTCTGTTTTTTGTTTTTTTTTTTTTTTTTTTTCTTTTTTCTCAGCACGTACGCATACCTTTTCGTTTCTCTTGGCCCTTCGTGCTTATCATGATGATTGTGATCTCATTTTTGACTTTCGAAAACCCGCAATCATCACACGCAAGCCACTGTTCTATTATACAAAACTACAAAAAACAGGGAACAACAATAATAATTATGTATTATAGTGGAGACGCAACGAGGCCACACCATTCACACTCTGCGGAAAAAAGGTATACGTTAGGGTGGCAACGTAAAACAAAATTGTTCCGAAATCTGTACTATCGATGCCTTCGATTCGAGTAATTTTTCTTTTTTTGGTCGTGCAAAATTATTATTTTCTTTTTTTTTTTTTTACGTTACCGATACAATATGTAATCAACAGATTTCGTTACATATATACATATATATGCAGAAAAATAGCTCAAATTTGTCATAAAGGGAAAGGGGGGAGACACAATGACACAAGCAACAGCCACTATGACACGAACGTGTTCAAAATGGACAAACTATCGTTAAAAATAGAAGGACGAACGACTCTTTTTCTACATTTACAAGAGCACTTATTTTTACGTTTGTCGCAGTATTCCAATTACTCCTAATCTAGCTAAATCTCGTAGGTTCTCTCGTAACCGTTTAGGCAAATTGTTCAATCAACGCATCATCGAAATTTATCTCTACGAATATATCAAGTATTCTTGCGCATTTCCTTGAGAAGAAGTTCGAAGAATCGCTATATTTTTTTTTTTTTTTTTCTTTTTGTAGGATTCCTTATAAAATTTACGTTCAAATGAAACTGCAACGCAAAATTCGCTAAAAAGATCACAAGCCAGTTGGAATCGATAGAACACCTGTACATTGCGTGGTCTTCCTCGGTCTTACACATGAAAAAACGCCTAGCACAGAAAGGAGATTAATAAAAAGGGCATATGGTGTACCTGTCCCTCCACATTCCTTGTCCTTTCGACATGGTATGACCAAGAGCTGCCAGCGATGTGTTTAAGGACTCTAGGGACGCTCTGATCTCAGAACAAAATCTGGTATAATTATGGATGGAAAACAAAAATTCGTTTCATGCGCATGCTTGATTATTCTTGTTCTCTTTATTTTTTTTTTTGGTTTCTTTTCTTTCTTGCCGTGCATTCTTGCACTTTTCCCTGCCGTTCGTTTTAGGAAACTTGTGCACTCGGGGAAACTATAATACATACGCTACATGTTCAGAAACAAGTACGTGCAAACACATGTGCTCTTGTACGTGGTTAAAAGGTACACGAGGAGGAAACATTCTGAAAGTCACACCAACAAGATCCCAAGAACAAAACGTCGTCTGTCCGACACGATAAGTATCCTGTCCTACTAAACGCTCAAAGAGAGAATCCATTGTGAACGTGAGGTACACACAAAAGCACCATTGTATTGAAACTGCTACATTTTGTAATTTTTCTAACAAACTCTCAAGAAAAAAAAAAAAAAAAGAACTCTTAAAATGTTGTCATTTTTTTTTGACAAATTCTTAAGAAAAGAAAAAAAAGAAAAAGAAGAATAAAATAAAAATAAAATGAAAATTTATACGATTTCGTTTTCTCTTCACTTTTTCTCGTTTAGTAGAACACGATACTGTGCATTCATCTGATTTTTCTAGTTGACTGACGAGAGTTCTGGAACTAATGTAACAATCTGCCCGTTATTAGTAAGGAGCATGGGTGTCCAATTAAAATTACTTACACCGTCAAAGAATCGTTCATCCCAAAGATATTTCAAGAACAACATGCTTATTAACTAGATAATCTAGTATTGCTACGAGCAAGACAGGATGTAAACGAGGGCACCAAGCGGTTGACTCTTGTTTAGCTGGTTGGCTGATTACATAAACGTTTATAAACTGAACATTCCGAATGGAATTAAAAACTGAAAAATACGTGAAAAATTAAAGAAAGAATAGCTCGCTATGAGAGATATGATGTGTGACAGAGAATTGATTATAGAGCTCAGTTACTGATTTGGTTCTCTCTGGTTGGCTCCATTTGAAAACGTTCCATGACATAGTCCTAGCGGTGACAATTACGCTGTTACGCTATCATTATGCACGCGATTATGTAACAATGAATTGTGTCAATTATTGCGTATGTCCTATAATAACCGTTTTATCATCTCAACGCAGAGATCGTCGTCACTATGTACCCCATATATTTAATACAAAACGATACTTTCGTTCTCGATTTTCGACTTTTTACTCGTCGTTTAAAAATTTTAATGCAGTCACTGTATTCTATTATAAGTCGACGTATAATGAAAATATCTTTTTGTTCGTTATACTTTATTAATATAGGCTTAATTATATACACGCCGAAGCCAACTAAAAATTAAGTTGAAGGAATTTTGTAAAGACGGAAAATTCGAGCTCATTGTATGCAACTCGCGTATATATAAATTCCCACAGTCTTGCCTATCACAATTTGTTATTATATAGATCAGCCAATGATCCAGAGGATTAATTAGAGCGGGAGTCTTTCACCAATGCACACCGTGTCACACTATAATACACAATATTATTGTTTCACAACATGAAATCGTTATCGTTGTTTCCGTTTTTTCCTTTCACGTATCTTGCGTATGCTTGCGTTGTATCTGTGTACAACTCTGTGTCAAAAATTGCGCAAGACAAACGCCAATAACAGCCTCTCCAATGGAACAATTTCCCGATTTACTACACTCCCTAGCCAATGAAATACATTACGTCAACCTCAACGAAGAGTATACTTTAATAAGGCGACGTTTTAAATCCAATTATACGAAACAACGAGCTGCGTTTTTACAAGCATGAGAATTTCGAAATTTAACGCGAAATGTTTTTACTGAATTTGGACGGTTTTCTTTTCTGGACTTATATATGAATTCAACAAGTTCGTGTTAATCTGTAGATATAGTTTTGCTTTGTATCACATTTACGTTGCGCTATTATTTAGTATCAAAACAAACCATGCAATGTGAAGATCGGTTTCGCGACTTTTTTTTTTTTTTGTCTCAGGGTATTCAGTTAGTAGAAGTCGGATTAAACATCCTCTTTTTATTTTTTTTTAATTTATCGTGCATGCACAGAACTGTGTGCAAACAATCATCAAATCGATAGACAACGATGCAGACTTTTCCAGGTCGAAAAGTTCTCGTAAGCAAAGGGAAGATCGATCTGACGATTAGTTGAAGAGAATTTGGAAAAAGAATTCAAACAGCTTCGTGAACTTTTCAAATCAGATGCAATTGAGATGTATATGTATATATTTCAATTATACTGCAGACAGATCTTCTACAGATTTTTGCTTCTACTCGATGAAATACTTCAAGACAGCAGATATTTCAAATATGTCAATGGGGCAAGTTGTATGATATTTTGCAAGATACTACAGTCCGTCGCGATAGTTTTCAGAAAATTTACAAATTAGACAGACTGTACAGTATAGATGTAAATGTACAAAAAATTTTGTCAAGCAGTTTATGATACAATAAAGAAAAGAGTTTTTCTCGGAGCAGTATTTATACAGTTGCGATTGAATGATACAACATACCCTGAATTGTTTGACTACTATTGTTGAACAAGTGGTGGTTTATAGAACAAGAGAAGAAATGAATAAATTAATACATACCCGACGTGCACTGGGTGCCTATTAATATCAACATTGTCTAGTTTGAGATTGGCAGCGTTTGTACGTTGATAATTTTCTTTCGTGATCATCTCGGTTATCGTCGGTGCTACAAATCAAAATTGTACGATTAATCGTAGAATGCTTCTCTGTTATCGAGAAAATTGTAGAAAACATTTCACGTGCGTGTCTTCGATTGAAAAAGAAAAAAGAAAAAATTCGTCAGATATAAAAAATAAAATTTTCTCCAGAGACGCAACTTGTGCCGTGTGACGAGATGAACTTAACCTTCAAGGTTTCAAATAGAAAATTAATGGCACTGATATGAATGACAGGTACTGTATGTATATTGGAGTAAACCCGGAAATAATAAACGAACGGCTTTATGCGCCGACACAAACAACCGACACTCCAAGCATCTTTTGTAAAGCAAGACTCATTAATTTATGACCCTCCATCATCTCGAATGACCTTTCATTATACCTTGTTGAACTCTACAATCGCTGCCGCGCAAAGAATAAAAAGAAGAAGGAAAAAAACAAATACAGCAGTCCACTTGAATGAAATTAAATCGGCCATGAAATTCTCTTCCGTATTTCTACGAACAGAAAACTGATTCTGTGATACTGTGTCCTTCGTTAACAAGTCGTATTATTGTTTCAACTAGAGTCACGGGTCTGCCCTGACCCGTTAGAGAAAAATTTAAAATGAGCGAACAAACGTTGACGTGGATTTCTGGTGACGAGTAGCCAGAAGATAATAACAGAAGACGCAAAAAATATTCAAATTAACTCGACTAGTTTCAGAATTTTAGTCGACGTATAATTTTCCTTGATCTTTTCAATTTGATATCTTTCATTCCAGTTCCAAGTGACGTTGACTCGATAATTTCGCAGATATTTGATTTTTTACTTTTTTTTAAAATGAAAGTTCCTTTTTCTACATTTTGAATTTTTAATAGTTTTCCTTTGCGGAGTAATTCTCAAACAATAACATGTCAAACTCTGTAAATGTAATATAATATAGTACCGTAAATACCAATACAATAAAATTTTCCAAATAAACACCAAAAAAAATTTATCATTTACTCGATTTACTCTCGACTGAGTGTATCCGTCATCGTCCAGAAATAATTATGCACACCAGTGTGCATTCTCGAAATACAAACAAAACGCTTAACGGCTTAAATAAACTCGAACGCGAATAATTTGGTCAAGAGCAAACAAGCTCGTAAATCCCATTGGAAAATAAATTATTTTGTCTTTTTTCTAACGTCCTTCTTGTACGTTCACTCTTTAGAAACACGTGTTTGTTGTTAAAATAATTTAGTGGCGCTTTCGAAGCTCGCTTGAGAGAAAGAAATTGGCAATCGGTAGAGTGTAAAAATTTACGCCACCCGTAATGTGTAGACGTTGGTAGAGAAAATGATTACAGTGCGTCAGTAATGCTTTTCGCGTAATGCTTACCACCGGAATGTCGATTGTCCCTCTCGTCGTCTGTCACGTTGACACGCATCGAATCATCACCCATGGACTTCATGTCGTCAACAGTCATGTATCTGTATTGCTGTTGGTCGCTGAGCATCGGATCTTCACCTGTGATAAACGAATTGCGAATTATCATTATTACGATTGCCGGTGTCGAATCGACGGGAAGAAGTGTTCTTTTTTTTTTTTTTTTTTTTTTTGCAAGATTCGGAGAGAGAGAGAGAGAGGTCGTAAAGATCTACCAGTACAGTCGTTGAACTTGCATGAAAACAATATGAGAACGTGGTGAGAAAGATTTATGCACCAACGTAAAGAAATCATGAGAGCCAGCGAACAAAAGGGAAAATGTCATTGCCATGGAAATTATCGCAATCAAGCTGAAAGAAGCAAAATTAAATACTCGTGTCGTTATGTTTGGTACTCGAGAAGATTCGTGTCGTTGGTCTTGGCCTTACTCGGAGCCTTGGCAAAACCAACATAGATAAACTAAAATGAAACTATGCGCACGATGTGTCAATGACCCGTCCATGACGTTTACGCTCGTGCGAACATTTTTTTCACGTGTCGAACGTACGAGTCGCGAAAATGACAGAGATGTGTGTGTGTATATATATATATATATATATATGATTCTCGTTGCAAGTAGAAAATATATATTTTTAAAAGAATGCTGCTTAAAAGCTTATCAAGAGCGTTTTATTTTTACGCTCGGAGATAGCACGCGTGGTTATCAGTTACGCGAAACGTACGAATATACAGGGTGTCATGTGGTGATTCTGCATGAAAAACTGAATAAAAAAAACATGGAATAAAATTTTTTCACACCAAGTTTCTCGTTTCCGAGAGAAATGACTTTGAATGTTTATCGAGTACGCGTGCACATGATCAAGATTCAGCTCAACGGATTTCATTGTTATCTCTACTAACATTTGTAAACGTTCCCAATGTTTGTACGCGAGGGCGTCGAATGTCTACTTTGCACCAATTTTTTTTAGTTTAAAAGAAAGTGACGTTGTTGCATGCATAATTGTGCTCTTCCCGTTAAATTGCTACGAACATTTTCTAATTGTGTTATTTTGTAGTTTCAATGTTGCAGACGCTATAATAATTTTTTTCTTTCATTGTTCAACGTTCGCTGCGTCGCTAGAATACACCATAGATTTAACACGACCCCGTAAATAAAAATCCAGCGGCGACAGAGGTCCGGAGATCCAATATCGATTAGTTTTCGTTTAAAAAAATTTCTCACTTCACGACTGAAACGCGATGGTACTCCATCTTATTGATAACTTAAATTCCTTCAAATTCCGATAATTGAGTTGAATCTTGATCAAGTTGCACGCATACTCGATAAACATTCAAAGCTATCTTTCTCGGAAACAAAGCTTCGTATGAAAAAAAATTGTATTCCACATTTTTTATTCATTATTATTTTTTCACGTAGAATCATCAGCTTCCCGCTTGCTAACCACCAGTTACGTGACAGCCTGTATATTCGAATAATAATCCTCGGCGACGTGAACGATCGACGATTCGAAACGTTTTCTTCCGTTTACATTATCGCATACACGCGCGTATGCACGTGTGTAGAAAGCACCCGCGCAGAAGCACGATTCGTTTGGAGAATCGTCGAGCGTGTTTGCAAGTACCACTAGATTTCTACCTCTGTTCTGACAATAATCGTAAAACGTGCGGTGTGAAATGCTTCGAGCCAACAGAGACGCAAAGAACTTGAAACAAATTTTTCGGCTGCGCGAAATAACGAATAAGAACGCGTACGAACGGTAACGCGTTTTTCACAAGACTGAGATCTACGTCGCTTATCCGATCGCCACGTACAACTTTGAACATACCTTATCAGATATGCCAAGAATATGGAACGCACAATTATCTAATGAATGGTCAGCCGAGAAATTTACAGCCCACGTTCGAGCAACGCCGCTATGAAGACTAAACTAAACTAGCCTGGCACAAACCGAAATCGTTCCAATCTACACCATTTTAGGAACGTGGTGCTGTGTCAGCTTCGAAAATAAATGTACGAACAGAACACAGAAAGTTTATACGATTATACGTGTATATACATATATATATATATATATAATATATTGCGACACATCCCAAAAAAGATACACACATTACTAACGAGAACGTGAACGCTCGACTGTTTCTTTTTGCATATTGTCGATACGAGCGGGCGCAATCTCATCTTTTTTTCTTTTCCTTTTTTTTCTTTTTTCTCTCCATTCTCTCGCGGCCGGATGACGATTCAGGAACTGGCCGGCAATGATGTCACTCGTTATCTCGAGAACGTACTCTCTCTCTCGAGCTCGAGACCGGCGGGATCGATAATATCTAAAATTAATAGAAACACGAAACAACTGGGCCCACTGTAGCCACATGGAGAAACTGTACTCTAATTTTAGCGGTCTGTTCAAGGACAGACTGCCGAAGCGATTCTAAACCATTCTCTAAGCCTCTGAGCTTCTATCTACGAATAGTTGACCTCATAGGCAGCGACCTATATCTTCCTGAATACACGCGCGCGCGTAGTTCGTGAAAACCAACCACGTCGTGTAATCACTCGTTGAACAAGCTGTCGGACATTGGGCATCCGTCATAGACCAGAATAGTGCTAAATCGTAATCAACGAGACACTTTTAATTTCCGTCACGTTCCATCGGATTCCCGTTTTCCACGCATCGCGCGGCGGCGCGACGCGCGAGATTCTCGCCATTCGAGAGAAACGCACCGACGACCAACATCAAAAATAGTATCCACTCACCCGCGAGAGAAAACTCCGCAAATCGCAGTATATTGGTCGGTGATCGCAATGACTGGGCATCGGCTGCGCTGGCTGCTCGCCGTTTTGACACTTTTCAACAGCCCCCCCCAACAGCTTGCTAATGTTTCCCGCGAGAACGTGACGTTCCGCGGTTCTCGTCGATTCGCGTCACACACATACATTATACATACATACACACACACATACACGCCAGCCACACTCCATTTACAATTGTAATAAACCTTTATTGCTGTGTAATCGCTGTTGCAAACCAGCCAGTCGTGCCGTTCGTCCGCGATTCTACGTCGCGTCGCGGATGGAATACCCACACCCGAAAAAAAATACGAAACCGGTCAATTATTATTTTTTCTTTTTCTTTTTCTTTTTCTTTTTCTTTTTCTTTTTCTTTTTCTTTTTCTTTTTCTTTTCCTTTTTTTTTCTTTTTCTTCTTCTTCTTCTTCTTCTTCCTGTTAAAGGTTAAAAGAAAAGCCTGGCTGGCCTTGATCGTTGCCCCTCCTCACGTTCGCGATATCATCGTTCGCGACTTATGTCACCGATGCGTCCGTCTCATTGTTATGTCACGAGCGAGGATCACAGTCACGTTCGATCGTAGTTATGCCCGCTCGATCACGATCGCTGCCTTACAACGCCCGCCTCTCCGTTAATCTCTGTCGTTTATGGCCCGACAGCTTTTGACACGCTTGTCAGATGATCAGCGTCGCAATCCCATCCGACGAATACCAAATGTCGTTTCCTATGACCATAGAGAAGCTTGCGAAGCTCACCTCCAAACCGGAACAACCCACGCGGACGCTGACAGAACCGTCTCTCGCGCGATACAGTTCCTCGCAGCGGTGTTTTGCTTACGCAGTATGCATTTGACGTGTCTCCAAGTACCGTTTTCGAAGTATTCGTACATACTACGACGGTACGTTTCCGTGCATATTCTAATTTTGTCCCGGTATTTGGGTTTGCACGGCGAAAAAAGAAGGAGAGAAAGAAATATTCGAATTTATCGAACACGCACCGTTTCTAAATGTTTAAACTTCGTCGCTGACGTTACGTCGACGAACGACGTAAATATGTACATCACGCGAATGAACGAAGATTGCGGACAATCCGGTTTAAATGTGCTGCATAAACGCCGTGACGTTGGATTATCTATACTGCAAATAGACGTTGCGTACATGCGCGTTTATGCACGTGTGATGACAGTTGATTCGAACGAAGGAAACGTTTGACGGTGTCGAGCGATTTGATTTCGCGTGGAATCGATGTGTGTGGCTATATTACTTCGATATACTTGAAATACCGACGGAGTCAGTAGGTTTCTTATGCAAAATCATTTTACAGTTTACGAGCGTAATTAAAAGAATCGAATCTGGATAGAAAATTGGCTTACGTACGTATATGTTATAAAAAGCGTCGTGCTTTGAATATCTCGTAGACTTTTTCATACTACACGCACTCTGTGCAACTTTGTATCTTTAAATTTCTCATAAATGCATGAAAATCGACAGCCAGATTGAATGAATCTTTAAAAAATTGGGACATCTGAGTAGAAAATTGGTTTACGTATAAAAGGCGCTATATTTTACGTTACGTATAAATTACGTTATATTTTGAATTTTTTTGTACTACACGCACTCTGTGCAACTTTGTATCTTTAAATTTCTCATAAATGCATGGAAATCGGCAGCCTAGTTGATTAAATCTTCGAAAAATTGGGACATCTGAGTAGAAAATTGGTTTACGTATAAAAGGCGCTATATGTTACGTTACGTATAAATTACGTTATATTTTGAATTTTTTTATACTACACGCACTGTGTGCAACTTTATGTCTTTAAATTTCTCATAAATGCATGGAAATCGGCAGCCTAGTTGATTAAATCTTCGAAAAATTGGGAAATCTGAGTAGAAAATTGGTTTACGTATAAAAGGCGCTATATTTTACGTTACGTATAAATTACGCTATATTTTGAATTCTTTTGTACTACACGCACTCTGTACAACTTTGTATCTTTAAATTTCTCATGAATGTATTCTTTTGTACTACACGCACTCTGTACAACTTTGTATCTTTAAATTTCTCATGAATGTATAAAAATCGGCAGCCTAATTAGTTAAATCTTTGAAAAATCGAATAGAAGTAGAAAATTGTTTGACGTATATTATAAAAAGCGCCATGTTTTGAATTTTTTTATACTACACGCACTCTGTGCAACTTTGTATCTTTAAATTTCGCACAAACGCATGAACATCCGCAGTCTAATTAATTAAAATATCGAAAAATCGAATCTGACTGGAAAATTGATCTACACGTGTTGCCATATTTTGAATATATCTCGTAGATTTTTCTCATATTGCACGCACTCTGTGCAACTTTGTACCTTCAAATTTCCCACAAGTGAATGAAAATTCTTCAACTAATATGATTATAGTTAAATCTACGTAAGATTACATTTTTTTAAATTACAGCAGAACTGTTTAACTTTCGTTTAACGCAGTCAACTATAGTAGGAAAACAAAGTCGCGTGCCGGAATCTTATCACTTTGCAAGCATCGGTTATCAAAAGTACTATGCAAAACTACATACTTTGTTTTGTTTTTTTTTTTTCTTTTATGCCTAACGACTTCCATAATGCCTCAATCAATAAAGACAAAATTAGAAACGCAAATAACGTGAGTAGCGAAGTGAAAACGAAACGGGGAAAGAAGAACCAGCGGAATGTCGACTCTCATTCGCCGATATTTTCAAGAGACCGTTCTAATTTCAACCGGGAGGCGTCGGGAACCAAGAATCCCGCTTTAAATAAAGAATGTAAATACACAAAACGTCTCTACACGTCATATTACGAAACTAGGATCGTTTCTGATTTTACGATTTACTATGACATCCTATATGATCCCGAGCCACGTGACCGACATCACCGTCCTTTGCCAAAATTTCGCGCGTGTACGAGATACTTTGAAACGCCCTATCGTCCACTATCGTTTGTTAATTTATCCCAAGTAATCGTTAAGGGAAAGCACGTGTGAAAAGAGAAGATACGAAGAACACGCCCTCAAGCCGTTGCAAAGTAACGTTGAAAAATGACGATCGCTCACGCGATCGGAGCGAGTAACAGTAGCCAACAGTTGAAATTGACATTAGGGTGTGAGAGCGAAGTACGAATCGTAAAAGAACAGATGTATTTACATGCGCTGTCGCTGCTCCTGTTGCTCGTACACCCGCAACACGTTATCTTCTTCGATTGTTTCTGCTTCGGTCGTCCTCCTTTGGCCATTTTGTCTAATATTTTTTGCGCGCGCAAACGACGAGGAAGAACACACGCACGCACACACGGCGAGGTTGTTACACGTTTCTCTTTTTTTTTTTTTTTTTCGTTTCGAGTTTCGATCAAAACACGTGGATCACGAAGCCTGCCTCGACGTATCTCGTCGAGAACACAGCAGGGGGGGGGGAGTCGAAAACTGTAACGGACACGCTCCTCCGTGGCTTGAAAGGTTTAATACATCGCCCGGAACTCTGTACTCAGCCCACTGAACACGATGTACTGACGGTGTACGCCGTACGTACAGGACTAATTACATCACCGACTCAACGACCAGCAGCCGTCGTCGTGGTCGTCGGTGTGCAAGTTGAGTTACAAGCGAATTACAATTAACGCACGTTAGCGCTACGCATTCATTGACCAAGTCCACCAATTGCGACCGGCACACTTCCACTATCGATTCCTTCCTACTGGCCTCTGGTCTTGTTTTGTCCTTGCGTGTGCCAGTTTTCCCACGGAAAATCGGCCGACGAACGACGAACTCCCGTTGATCCCGCGCAGGGTGTTCTCGTCGTTACCGAAGATCCACGTTACGCAAGCGTGACGGCCCCTGATTAGATTTGATTTGTTAAATTGCATTAACCGTGGCGCGGGCTTGGACGCCTCCTTTTCTTTCGCGCTTTATTTCCTGCTCGCGTGCTAGCAACACGGCGCGGGTCAGGAACAGCGACTGCCGCCTCGAGATTAATACAAGTTCGACGCAACGACTACCTAACAGAAACGTGACCTCATTCCGTGAATCACCAATTTTATAATAGTATAGCCCGCCACCGACGGCAGCTTTTCCACTACTTTATTTACATCGGCGAGAATGCGCGTTGCAACTCCTCCCCGGTGTAGGAGTCGGTAGGCAGGAGGAGCGTGTCCAGATGCAATTGTTGTTGGCACTAAGTGGACGTTATCACGAGAGCGTAACGGTCAGAAACGGCCCCGGTGATCGAGTAATGGGTCGACGAAGACTACCGATCTTCTTCATCAGCCGGTGAAATATATGCACGTACGGACGAATATATGCACACGTGACGTGCATACATCGAGAAACGAGACTAACGATCAAGTTTTTCCTTCATTATTCCTTTTTCTCTTTTTTTTTTTTTTTTTTTTTTTTTTTTTTT